GGGGGGAATTTAGCAGTGCTTAAAACTTTTCTCCTAAAATCTGGTCTTTTTCTATTCAAATTCAAAAACATAGATGATATGAGAAGTATTTTGGAGAATGGACCTTGGTTCTTTAGTTCCAGACCTATTCTCTTGAAGCCTTGGAATATCGATGAAGACTTGGAGAAAAGAAATGAGCGTGTTTACCCTATCTGGATACAATTACGACCAGGTTTGAGGTTAAACCTATGGAATGCAAAGAGTATTAGCAAAATTACTAGCATTATAGGAAAGCCAATTACTACTGATATGCTTACAACTAATAAGCAAAGACTTGCATATGCTAGAGTTTTAGTGAAAGTAAACTTGCCCTCTACTCTTCCTGATAAAATTACAATTAAAGGACCAGATTGAAAAAATATCCTGCAAAAGGTGTATAATGAATTGAAGCCTAGATGGTGTGAAGTATGTAAAATTGTGGGTCATGACACTCTACATTGCAAGAAATAGGCAAGGGTTCAAATATGGAGGCCTAAACAAAAAACAAATCCTTCAGTTAAAAAAACTAGAGGGGAATCTGTTATTTCCCCTGTGCATGCTGACCACATTCAAGATGGTACAAATAAAATCCAGACAAATACTCATGTCCTGCCTGATCCTGTCTTACATTTTCAGAAGCCTATTCAAACACAATCTATGTTGCATCCACAAATGCCTGTGAATAATACATCTCAGGTCCTTTTGCATTGTGCTGGGATTGAACAGGTTTTAGGAAATGGTGTTGGAATGAATACTGGTAACTTTTCAAATGAGAGGGATCTTATACATGCGGAGCAGGTGAATCAAATGAAAAAAAGTGAAAACTTAAGCACAGGAAATGTTTCAGCTGGATAAAATCATGTGCATGTTGTGCATATTTCACAATCAAACTTTGATACTCATACACACTCAGGAAAATCTTGGATGCTAATGCAAAGGGGAAAAAGTATAAAAGGGCTCTTACCTATTAATTCCTTCTGCCTTCTAGCTGGAATAGTATGTGATCTAGATCCCTCTACATTGGATAGATAGGATCAAACCAAATGAATCTTTTTGGAATGTTAAGGTACTAAACAAGTCCTCTAAACAACACCTGATTAAGCAGTATATTTCACAGTATCACATTTCTTTCATTTCCTTGCCAGAAACAAAAGTAAAGGAGGTTAAAATACCAGCAATAATAAAGAAGATTGCCACTAATTGGAAATGGGTCTCCAATGTGGCAAGCACAGAAAAGGCAAGAATTCTGATTTTATGGGATCCTAATTTACTGAATATACAAATTGATTACATTTGTCCTCAACACATTACCTGCACTGTCAAAACTATGGATGGGAGGATGAATTGTATTCTTTCTTCTATCTATGATTTTAACCAACAAGATTCAAGAAAGGCTTTATGGACTGAGCTCCTCCAAGTGCATCATACTGTTGGAAATACACCATGGCTTTTATGAGGGGATTTCAACACTATGATCAATAATGATGAAAAGCTAAGAGGAATTGCACTTACAGATGCTGATACGAAGGATTTTAATTCTTTCATTGAAGACAGTCATCTCTTGCACCTAAAAACATTGGGTCGTTTCTTTACCTGGAACAACAAACAAGACCATGATGTTACGGTTTGGTGCAGGTTGGATAGGGCTCTTGTAAATGACTCTTGGATTCATAAGTATAACTCTAGCCATGTAGAATTTTTGCTTCCAAGCTTCTCAGATTATTCTCCTGCACCAGTCTCTAAGTATGAGGATGATAGACAAGGGAAGAAGCCTTTTAAGTTTTTTAATATGTGGATTAATCACAGCAACTACCTACCTACAGCGTCTTCAATATGGTAGAGGCAGGTTAAAGGTTTCAAAATGTTTTCAGTTGTTATATAACTCAAGCTGCTGAGGGGAGATCTAAAGGATCTAAACAGAAAACATTATGGAAATATTAGTGAATAAGTAGAAAGAGCCAAATATGCGCTGGAGGAAGTTTAAAATAAGCTGCAGGAGGATCCTCTTAATCCTGGTTTTATCAAACAAGAGAAAGATTGCTTGTTTACTTATAACAAACTCTTGCAATGTGAGTTATCTTTTTTCCAGCAAAAAGCAAGAATTCAATGGAGCATTAAAGGAGATAGATGTACAAACTGTTTTCATTCTATTATCAAAGCCAATAGGCACCAGAACAGAATTCTAGCTCTCAAAAATAGCATTGGTGAAAGAATTACAGAGGGTGGGGAGATTGCAAATGAGCTTGTCTCTTACTTCAAGAACCTTATGGGTACAACAAGTGCAACATCTTCTCTAGAAATCAGGATTATTAAGAATGGACCTTGTTTGAGTGAAAATCATGTTAGGAACTTTTCTTCACCAGTCACAAAAGATGAGATTAAGAGGGTTGTTTTCTCCATGGTAGATAATAAGTGTCTACGACCATATGGCTATGGTGCTTCTATCTTTAAATCAGCATGTTCTACTATAGGAGATAAAGTTACACTTGTAGTTGAAGAGTTTTTTAGCACAGGAAAAATACTGGGTGCCATAAACTCCACTTCCATTACACTAATCCCTAAGGTATCCTGTCCAAACACTCCTGTAGATTTTAGACTAATTTCCTATTGCAATTGCCTATATAAAATCATTTCGAAAATCCTTGCAAATAGGATTCAATCAGTCATGGGGTATCTCATTAGTGATGCTCAAAGTGCTTTTGTAAAGGGAAGGCACATAACAAATAACATACTGTTAGCCCATGAACTGGTTAAAAACTATGGAAGGAAGCACATCTCTCCTAGAGTTATGATTAACATTGATATCAGAAAGGCTTTTGACACTATTAGTTGGAATTTTATATAGGAGATGCTTCAAGGTTTGGATTTCCCAAAGGACTTGATTAACAGAGTCATGACTTGTATAACTACTTTAAAGTATTCAATCTCTCTCAATGGCTCATTACATGGTTACTTTAAAGGTGAAAGAGGTCTAAGGCAAGGAGATCCCCTCTCTCCTTACTTATTTATCTTGGGAATGGAGTATCTTACAAGAAGTTTGGATCTTCTTAAACAGGATGGAAACTTCAAATTCCATCCAAAATATGGAAGGCAAAGAATTTCACACCTTATATTTGCAGATGGCTTGATGCTTTTTTTTTTTTTGCAAAGGTGACCTTAATTCTATCCAAAAAATTCACCAATGTGTTACCAGCTTTAGTCAAGTCTCAGGTCTTGAAGCAAATCCCAATAAATGTACTATTTTCTATGGGGGAGTAGATGAAACTGTAAAGGAATCAATACAGAATTTTTTGGGCTATACTGAAGAGAAAATGTCAATCAAATACTTAGGTATTCCTCTAGTATGTAAGAGACTAACCTACCTCGATTGCAACCCTCTTCTAAGTAAAATCTCCAATCAACTTCAAAATAGTTTGAAGAACAAAAACATGTCATATGCTAGAAGATTACAGGTAATAAAAAGTGTAATTCTGGGAATTCAAATCTATTGGACTTCTAGCTATGTGCTACCAGTGAAGTACTGCAAAAAGTGGATGAACTCTATAGGAATTTCCTCTGGGGTAAGAATGATCTTGCTTTTAAGCACTCACTGGTTTCATGGGATGGAGTATGTACAAGTAAAATGTATAGTGACTTGGGGATTTTCTCTTCAACCATTTGGAACTTAGAAGCAGCTCTGAAGATATTATGGGACATACATATCAATAAAGAGCTTCTATGGATCAAGTGGATTCATGGCACATATCTAAAGCACATGGATATATGACGAGTGGAAATAAAAGTTTGTGATTCTTGGATGTGAAAGCAGTTACTTAAAGTTAGGAATAAAAGCATAGTTTAGTGTGGGGGATTGGATAATCCGAAAAATCTAATCAGATCCTGTTACAGGAACTCAAAAATCAAGATGTCTGACTTGTACCATGCTCTATCTCCAGCTACTAATAAAGTGCCATAGGGTATTACTGTCTAGGGTGGTTTTAATCACCCTAAGCACTCTTTTATCTCATGGCTAGCAGTCCAAGATAGACTCCTAACTCAGGATAAACTGCTTCGAAGAGGAATCATTCAAGCAAATCAGTGTTATTTATGCTCGGGAGCAGAAACTGAAAGTTCTAGTCATCTGTTCTTTGAATACAAATTCTCAAAATATGTATGGAATGGAATAATGGATTGGCTCTGTTTTAGATGGAGAACCTGTGATTTAAACCAATTGTTGAATTGGTATAGTGACAACTTAAGAGGAAAAGGATTCAAGCACAAAGTTAAAAGAATGGCTCTTACATCCACTATCTATAACATTTGGATTGAGCGAAATGAGAAAATTTTCAAACAAAAAAAACAGAGAAGTTATGCATGTTATCAAAATCATCAAGGTGGACCTGATGACAGCTACTCTAAATAGTGATATTGCGGCTGAGAACAAAGATTGGATACTATCTTTATAGTTATCAAAAGTTTTATAGGTTTGTTCAGCTGCTGCTGGTGATTTTCATAGTGAATTCCCTGTTAAAATGCAAACATTGAGGAGTTCGCTGGAGATGTAGTTGCAGTGGTTTGCCCGCATTAGTTCAGGGGATTCTCAGCTTGCAACTCTGCTCATGCTTGTAAAGCTCTGTATACATGAGTTCTTTTGAGCTTTAGTTCAGGTTTATTTGTTATCTCATATAAGTGATGAGATGTTTGATGTACATACAATTTTCATATTGATGATGAATAAAAATTTTCATTTACCAAAAAAAAGCTAGTAGATACTTTTCCATGATAATTGAACCAACTCACACTTTTTGAAACAAAGGCACTTTGACCACAAGGATAAAATAAAACTTGACATTAATCTCATGGGACGAACGTTTTGTAGTCTAGAGCCGTAGCTAGTACCAACAACAAAAGTACCAACAAACACGACATTTTGCCTTTGTACAACATATAGTATAGGATGATATGATCATTCCATCCTATACCATCTAGTAGATACTTTTCCATGAAAATTGAACCAACTCACATTTCTTGAAACAAAGGCACTTTTGACCACAAGGATAAAATTAAACTTTGAGATTAATCTCATGGGACACTAGCCATATAGCTAGTAGCAACAACGTAACAAAAGTACCAACAAACATGACATTTTGCCTTTGTACAACATATAGTATGGGATGATATGATCATTCCATCCTAAACATCTATGGGTTGTAGAATGTTGAGCCACACTTGCACTTCCACCCCTCAGGTTCATAGTTTGCATATTGAGGACTCAACTGGTCAGTTGTGGTTGGCACTTGAATTGCCATGCAAGGCTCACAGCCCCAACATTTATGCTCACAATTGGGTGGCCTTGATCCAACCCTAGCCATCTCCTTCAATCTCTCTACATTATCATCTATCCGTATTCCCCTGTCCTTTGTTGTTGTTGAGTTGGCTTCTTGTACTGTCAGAGAGAACAGTAAGCAAAGAGTTAAGAAATGCTAGACAAAATCAATTCATGCATGTTTAGGTGGATTATAGAAAATCTTTTTAGAGTCGTGACGGTCATATAATATTCCACCAAAAATATTTTCGTGTGACAAGTTTGAACATTTCATTTTGATTTCTACAAATGAACTTGACTGAAAACTTTCTAGTCACTAGAATATCGCGTGCTCATGCATTCTCATATAAATTGTACATACTATTAAAATGAAATGAAACTACGTCTAAATGGTGCATGATATAAACTTTAAAAATATTAGAAATCATTAGAGATGATAAAAAGACAAGGAATTAACAATCAGTGCACTGGTAGAAACTTGAGGATAAATTACTAGAAATAATACACTCAAGAACTTCTGAAGAAAGAAGAAGAAAAAGAAAAAGTAAAAACTTAAAAATGAAGTACGTATAAAGGAGAAGCATCAATTCATGTTTTTCACCTTGAGTCCAAGGCCTAGCTTGAGCTAATGATACCCAAATCATGATCTCCCAAGAAACAATGAGAAAGAGCCAAACTCTCTTTTGCACACTACCATCTCTCCTCATCATGAAAGAAAGAGAAAGAAGAGAGGAGGTTAGTAAGCTAGATGCAAATAAACTTTTGTTTTCAAAGACTAGCTCTATACTTCCTATAAAAATCTCTCACGAGCTCAACTCCCAATCTTTTCAACTGAAGAGCGGCTTTGCTTCAACTACAAGTAAAAAATTCACAGTCCAGGACAGCACACTTGAAAACCTTATGATTAGTCTGTATCTCAAACCTTTGGTAACAAAGCGGAGCCTCTCTTATACTCCGTCAGCTATCACCTATACATGAAATTTGTTTCTCAAGGGATGGAAGTAGATTTGTATAGGCTCTGTAGCGTGCAGAGCTAGAGCTCAGGTTGCCTACTGTAGAAAAATAACTAAAAATGGCCCCATACTTTTGAGTAGTTAAGCGAGAACATGTGAAGGGTCTGACGGAGGTAAATGGTGTTAGATGGAATTTATTACTCTGCAGTTCCCAATGTATATTAATCACCGCTTGAAAAAATTTCGTGGTAGTGTTGGGAGGCTGGGGGTCAATCTTACTTTGACTCTGATTTCCTAGTTCAGCCAATCTTTGCTACTAGAGAGACTCTACAGGCACATTCTAAGGCACACTACCAATCATAGACTCTCTCTACAGTGCAGGGAGCCCCACATGTGATTTTTAAAAAAATCACACGTGGGACCCCCTGTACTGTAGAGAGAGATGGAGTGTGATTGGTGATGTGCCTTAGAGTGTGCATCTATCATTTCTTTTGCTATTATACCACAAACGTACTTAGATTATCATTAAAGTGATGTTAATGAGTAGTAGGGGTGCAGATAGTTGGGATATGGCTTGGATAGAATATTTATTGTATTTGTATTTGCTTGCAAATATGAATACGTTTGAGTAAGGAAAACTTATATCATATCTGCTAAATTCAGATACGAAGATAAAGATATACATACAAATAAATATATTGTATATACATGTGAATATAAAACAGATACGAGAAAATTAGATAATATAAAAAAAAATATAACCCTTATGATATGTTAGAGTTCATTAATATATTTATTACATCCAAAAGCTAAGATTAGATCTCTTGACTAACTTCATATCCATTCTTTAAGGATTAAAACAATTACAAAAACAAATGTTTGGATATTTTCGAATGTGTATGTGTGTGGGCCGGGAACGATATGCTATCATCAGATATAAATGTATAGTAATCATATTGGTACCATAGCAAATAAGAATGTAGCTATATTCCCGGATACTATTTTTTTGCACCCCTGGTCAATCAAGAAATTATGAATTCTATGGTGCATAATGTGACGACACGTATTCATTTTTACAACATCTGGATACCTTTTTTTTTTAGGGCATGTTCGTTTATTTCCTAAAAACCAAGAAATGGAAATGAAAAAAGGTGGAAATCTCAAAATAATCCATTTCTTTCATTTCCATCCCTAAAACTCACCCACAACATCCAATAAAATATTATTTTCATCCAACAACTCATCCACATCATCTAATAAAATATTATTTTCATCTAACAACTCATCCACCACATCTAATAAAATATTATTTTCATCTAACAACTCATCCATCACATCTAATAAAATATTATTTTCATCCAAACATCACTCAACTCATCTATTTTCATCATTTCAAATCACTCATATCATCGAATAAAATATTATAACAATTCACCTCATCTCATTAACATTTCATTTCTTTGTTTTCATCCCAAAAAGTTGTGAAAACACTTTTCTTAATCTTTCTTCACATCACCCAATAATACAATGACAACTCATCTCATCTCATTTCATTTCTTATTTTTAAGAATGAACCAAACAAAAGAAAATAACAAAACTACAGGAAATAGGTTTTTTATAATTCATTTCCTTATTTTTTTTTTCACCAACCGAACAACATCAAAACTAGTTTTCTTAAAAAATCACTCACATCATCCAATAATAATGTGACAACTAACATCATCTCATTTCCAATTCTTTGATTTCCTTCTTTTTTAAGCCAACCAAACATTTCCAAAATAATTTTTCTTAGAAATAGTTTTTCATTTCTTTGATTTCCCTCTTTCTTTTAGGGCCTGTTCGTTTATTTCCTAAAAACCAAGAAATGTAAATGGAAAAGGTGGAAATCTCAAAATAATCCATTTCTTCCATTTCCATCCCTAAAACTCACCCACAACATCCAATAAAATATTATTTTCATCCCTAAAACTCACCCACAACATCCAATAAAATATTATTTTCATCCAACAACTCATCCACATCATCTAATAAAATATGATTTTCATCTAACCACTCATCCATCACATCTAATAAAATATTATTTTTATCTAACAACTCATCCATCACATCTAATAAAATATTATTTTCATCCAAACATCACTCAACTCATCTATTTTCATCATTTCAAATCACTCATATCATCGAATAAAATATTATAACAATTCACCTCATCTCATTAACATTTCATTTCTTCATTTTCATCCCAAAAAGTTATGAAAACACTTTTCTTAATCTTTCTTCACATCACCCAATAATACAATGACAACTCATCTCATCTCATTTCATTTCTTATTTTTAAGAATGAACCGAACAAAAGAAAACAAGAAAACTACAGGAAATAGGTTTCTTATAATTCATTTCCTTATTTTTTTCGCCAACCGAACAACATCAAAACTAGTTTTCTTAAAAAATCACTCACATCATCCAATAATAATGTGACAACTCATCTCCATTTCTTTGATTTCCTTTTTTTTCCTTTTTTTTAGCCAACCAAACAATTCAAAAACCCATTTTTCTTAGAAATAGTTTTCTATTTCTTTGATGTCCCATTTTTTTAAGGCAAACGAACAGGCCCTTAGACAAATTGCATGCACCGATAAAATAATTTATGTTACCATTTTAATAGTAGATTTACGGGTTTTTTCTCTGGCAACTCGGTAAAATGAAACCCAAAATTGAAGAAAATTTGAGCAAGAATATCAATGTTTTTAGAATTTATAAAGTATAAGTCTCAATCAAATCCTCATATCATAACTTTGGAGTTTATGTATGGTGACATGAATCTTAAGATAGTGCCACAGCAATAAAGATTCAGTTTCCGATTGCTGACTTAAAACATATTCTAAAATATTGACTGCATTGCATGTCAGAGTTAATGAAAAAGAAACTCAGTATGTGATGAGAGCATGTTAGAGTATAAAATGTGAATGCGAGTGGGGACCACGAGCATGAGCTGGGCAAATACCAATGATTGGGCAAAGGGAGCTGGGCAAATACCAATGATTGGGCAAAGAAATTTGATTTCCGCATGAAAAGAAGGAAGTGCGGCCCACCCGAATCAACCAATCACATTATAAAAGAGTCACCTAGGTTTTTTTTGTTTCGGTGTAAAGGGGGTTTTGTTTTTCTCTTTGTGGCTGCGGAACAGAGGCGCAGAAAAGGTGTTTTTGGTTGTGTGGCCGGAAAAATTCGCAGCAGGAGAAAATTGGTTTTGGGTGCAAAAGATAAAGCATCAGCTTTTGTTAGGGTTTGTGCATCCTTTTGTAGAGAGATATTGTGATGGATTTGAGAGTTTGTTCGAGGGTTTAGTTTGTGAGTGATTATAAACCTAATTGTATTCTCTCCCTCAAGTAGTAGATCTCCCCCTTCCTTGCCCCGTGGACGTAGGCAATTTGCCGAACCACGTAAAAATTGGTTGTACTGCTATTTGTGTGATTTGTAATAGCTTTTAGGTTCCCTCGACGCACAGGCCTAGAGCTGACGAGAGGAAGAGCAATATCCCACTTTGATGGGATATTAGGCTTCAGATTCTTGTTCCCTTTGAGAAACAAGAATTCTTATTGCGACCTAACTCTTGTTGTGCAGCCGAAGTGCTGCCGAAATTTCCACTGCGCGCAACAAGTGGTATCAGAGCCCAGATTTCAGATATAGGGTTTTGGAGTTTGCTGGAGGAAGATTCTTGTGTGAAGCTTAGTTCTTGGAGTTCTCGGCTTCGGTGGAGATAGTATTAGGAGTTGCCGTTGGAGATTTCGCTTTCCTCGTGTGGTTAGGAAATCTATTTGGAATCCAATGTAGGGTTCAGTTAGGTGGTTCCTAATTTCTATCAAATTTTTTTTTCTCTACAATTTGGAGTTAGTTCGCAATGGGAGAAGAAGGTGAAAGCAGAAAGTCAATGGCGAGTACAATACAAGTTGGTTTTCAGGACACTAAGATTAGTGTGGTGAAGTATGACGGAAAAATCAACTTTGGTTTGTGGATGAGCGACGTACAGGATGCGCTCAATGCTCAGAATTTAGAAGAGACCATCATGGTCCACGAGAGGCCACCTAAATATGATGAGGCGATATGGGAGAAGATGAATAGGAACGCTTGTGGGGTGATCAGGTCCTGTTTGGAACAGGAGCTGAAATATGATGTGATTGGGGTGACGTCTACAATGAAGATGTGGGAAATGCTCAACAACAAGTATCTCATGAAGAGTGTTGAGAACAGGTTGCACTTGCTGCGAAGACTCTTCAGATTTCAGATGTCCAGAGGCACCTCACTAGCGGCACATGTGAACAACTATACGAAGTTGTTGTCAGACTTGGCGAATGTTGATGAGAAGATATCGGATGAGTACAAGGCGATTATTTTATTGGGCTCCTTACCGGATGAGGACTATGATACCTTCGTGCTCACTTTGTTGAACGGGAGATCTTCTATCAGCTATAGTGAAGTGACTAACGCTTTGACGAACTATGATTTGAGGAGGAAGGATAAGGAGACTTCCCGCGCTAGTACTTCAGGAGAGGCCTTGTCGACGAGAGGTAGAAGCCCATATCCGAAAGGTGGTAATAGAGGAAGGTCAAAGTCTAGAGGCCGCCACCAATTAGCAAAGAACCAATGTGCATTCTGCAAGGAGCAGGGACATTGGAAGAGAGACTGCCCGAAGCTCAAGGAGAAAGAGAATGGAAAGAAAAAGGACCCGAAGGACAATGAGGTGAATATTGCGAAAGGCGATGATTCTGATGATTCGTACTTTTCTCTACTGATTACTCCGGAGGTGAACCATG